CCTGCGGGGAACTCTGCAAAAAACGCATCTTCGCACGGGCAGCCCGTGCGTTGGCCATTTATTATAGAAATTGGAATGTTTGCCATTCCTGTGTTCTCATGTACGCAAATATGCGCTTACTTCCATGTGTGTCAAAACTTCAGCTAGTTTTTCAGCAATCTAGGTTAGTGCGTTTCTGCTAGATATGTAAAAATGATTGCTTTGCTTAGCTATCACATGCAGCTTTTCGAAATTTATTTTGACAGGAAATTCATTTTTTCTGTATGCTCATGAGCTAATTAAGTTTTGTTGGAACAGTGTAGAGGAGGTGGCGATTTCCCCCCACGAAGACCTTTCAGTATCAACGGTTTAACAATTATACCTCAGTATTTGCAGTTCTCATCGCTGATAATATTTACTGCCAAACTGCCGATTAAACTATAAAAAACTCTTTGCTGTTGCATCTGTTAAATTTCTCAAAGTTCATTTCATAGTTAAAAAAAATTTTTTTTACGCCAAGAACTTCAGCAACAGAACTGAGTCGCTTACTTATCTTTCTAAATGTACATGAATAATTGGTTCGTCTACATTTCTTAGCTGTTTCTCCAGTTGTGTAGCTGGTAATTTTTCCAGTTGCTTTAACCAGTGTTGCATCGCCTGGCCAGAGCCTACTAGCAATTCTGATGTTCGTCTTGTCTCCACTGCTGTATGTAAACAATGTACATTAAAGTGTTAAATTTCCGTTGCGCTGATTTTGAACCCTGCGAGTCTTTGCTACGCTTTTGCGTCTTTATGTTTCGCATCTTATATACCAAGCGCACGAAATGTGTGTATGCAAGTGTATATGTGTACTACTTGGCGATTTAATAAAGTGTGAAAGTGAATGTGAAATATATATATATATATATAAATTATAACTTTTCCCTCGTATGTTATCAATCAAGCTACTTCCTGGTGTTTCCGATTCTCAAACAAGCGAAATATTAGGAAGGGATGGGAGCTGTGTTTTTTGAATGTAAATTTTTCTGTTTTTTTTACTGATAGTGTTGCTTTCAATTTTATTCATCTTGCATCTGTATTCAGGCGAATGAGGACGGCAGTATGGACGGATAGGAGCTCTGCACGGGACTATGCTTGCTTGGCTATTCTTTTCTTTATTAATTTGCTCAATTACATGGATCGGTTTACCGTTGCGGGTATGTTCTTATGAGTTAAAAGTCAACAATAAAGCCGCAAGCAAATCGATAAAGAACATGGGCGAAAAACGCTTAAAAAAGTTTGCGAAAGCTAAATTTTGCTCTTTTTTTTTGTAGCTTTCAGTGAAACGCATTGCTAAACTGAAATTTTACTTGTATTTTGGGAAACGATTTAGTTGAAAATGTTCAATCCATTTTTTGTGACGTACAGCCTTAATCTATTTTGCGGCGACGTAAACTTTTTCTGCCAGAATTTGGGTATCCAAATGAATCAGGGGAGGGGAGGTGTTTTACTGAATCTAGAAATTTTGTTTCTCAAGGAATTTTTTTGGAGGATGGATAACCCAGCAGAAAGAAAGTCCTTTATGCTCCAATTTTCTACGGTACTCTCTTTCTTTATCGAACGTAGTTTATGAAACTCAAAGGCAGTGGATTAAAATGAACTATTACAAGACAAACTTTCAAACGCCTCAAATTTTAGGTGTTTTAACGCAAATTCAATCGTATTTTTCAATCGATGACTCCCAGGCAGGTTTGCTTCAAACTGTATTTATTGTATTTTACATGGTATTCGCACCGCTCTGTGGCTTTCTTGGTGACCGATATAACCGAAAATGGATCATGACTGTGGGAATTGCAGTATGGATTATCGCTGTACTTGCTTCGTCATTTGTGCCTGCTAATGTTCGTCTTCTAATTTCAGTTATTCGAGCTAGAGCTACTGTATCTTTCAACATCGGAGTCCAATTCAAAACATTTAATAGTTGACCAGCGCACCGACTGCCGGTGCGAAGATGCGTTTTTTGCATAGTTCCCCGCAGGTTTTTGTCGCTAACCGCACTGTATTTCTTGCAGATCTTCTAGCTAACAGAACCGAGACTGCCATCAGGGCTGTTGGAAAACATCCCCTTAGATTTTCAGCTTTCTAGTTTTTCTGGTTTCCGAGTTGGAAATTTACCCGCCAAAAATTTTCATCGGTCCGCACGTGAAAACCATGCATAATTAGGGCAGAGCTTGAAGTCATTAGGTTCTACGCGGACCCGGGAAAATCCTCTTAAAATTTCAGCCTTTTAGCTTCGCTGGTTTCCGAGTTGGCAACTTACTCACAAAAAACTTTCACGGGTCTGTACATGGGAATCAGACATACCCGGTGGCTGGGTTTGAACTCATTAGTTCCTACGTGAACAGGAGCATTGCCTTAAAATTACAGCCTTCTAGCTTTTCAGGTTCCAAAGTTAGCGGCTTACCCACCAAGACTTTGACGAGTCGGCAGGTAGGAACCATGTGGGTAAAAGCGCCTATTTTGGGGATGGCGGCCCGTACGTGTATACTGATTAAATTCTCAGAGTTTCAGTCTTGTGTCTTTTACAGATATCGAGATAAAAAATCGGAACAAACGCACTGATAGACATACAAACACATGCATATCCATAGACAGTCCCTCAACAGTATGCGTTTTTGCATTGCGTAGATGCAAAACCCATGCTGGAACGCACCAGGCGAGCCGGTGCGATCATGCGTTTTTGCATCAAACTTTGAGGTACTCCATCATTATTCCCCTGTCCTTGCCTCACCCCCTCCACTCGCTGTCCTCGCCCCTCCCCTTCCCCCGCACCCGCCCTGGATATCCATCTTCTCCAAACGGTGATATTGTACTGCATTGTACAGCACAATTACAAAGCGGTATTCCGTGAGTACGGCATCGTGAGTCCAAAGTCCCTGCTGAGCGGTTTAACGCTCTTCACTTTGGACTTATTCATAGTGTAGAGCGGTCTGACGCTCTACACAGTGGGGTTGTTTGTGGTTGGGGGTGGGTGGTCGTCCGTG